GAGACAGACTTCCACCATGGTACATTCCACCTCCTTTCAGGCAGTTGTAGAGAGCAATCAGATTTCCTCAGATCGTCCTTTTCTCCAGATAGGGCAACATAATTTCCCTCAGCTGCTCCTCACAACACTTGTGCTCCAGACCCTTCACCAGCTTCATTGTCCTTTACACACACATGGTGTCCAATTACAGTTTAAAAGCCCACCTGCAAAAACTGTGGGTAGATGAGGCAAAGTACCCTATAAGATGTCTACAGGAGCCTGGGAACTGGCTGTCGTGCCTTAGTTGTGGATTTTGGGCATTGTCATAAGATATTCCTTCAGATCAGAAGCATTCAACCTATGTTAGATACTGCTATAGCACTGTAAGGTCATTTAAAAATTATTGGAGCCTCTGAGCAGAAAGCAATGAGATTACTAAACAAAATTCATTTTCACATTCACTTAGCAGTCCAATATGAACTAACCTGCATTTCAGCAGGGAATCACTAAACCCAGTAAACATGCTTATTAAAGAGATGTTACTAAGATATTTCAACTAAAACAAGTAAGAATTCTTCATAAGAAAAATAGGGATGCTTGTTCAAGAATGTGGCAGAAATTGATTTTTTATAGTATTTTCTTGTGATATGATTTTCTATGTATGCAGGGACATAGGGTCATGAAATATCATTATTCCAATTAGGACAGTAGATTCTTATCTGGAATACCATGACAGGCTGTTCTACTAATGCATAAAAAGAGTGCTCTTGTTTTTTGAACTGGAACTCTTGTTTTTGGAACATGTGTATTTAGGCATTTCAAAAGATGCTCAGAATTTGAAGACAGGTAGCGTAGCAGATGCATATGTGAAAATGTGGGAGTACGAGAAGGGAGAACCATATTAAAACACTAAGTATCTGAATAAATTATTTGCTCTCCTGTAAACTAAAAACTTCACTTTTTATTTTCTCTTTACAGAGAAGTTAATGATACTATAAAAGTATAAGCATTTAACCTTTTCTAGGGTTCCCTGAATATTTTGATTTAAGAAAACATACAATCTTATATGAATAATCTTTGCAAATGTACATAAGATGTAGACATTTACTCCTTCCCTCTCTCTTGCCATAGTTACAAGAACATTCTTATTTATAAAATTTCAGCTGAGTGCTTTGCTGCAGATGGGGAGGAAAACAAATAGTAAACACTAGAGGCTATTGCAGGTAATTATTAATTACATAACTAGTTACTATTACACTCCACAGATAATTACCAAAAGTAATTAATAAACACAAATAGAGAGCAATTAATAGAAAGCCATTCAATATCAATTGATTTTGAAAGTCTTAAAACTTTAGGTTATGCATGGAAAGTAGTTTTGACACTCACAGCCAAAATTGCATAGTTGCAGCAAATTTCTATGCAGAGAATTCACAAATTTTCCCCAGAGGAAAACAAAACAAAACACAGGTCTTGCAGCAAATCAACTGATAAACTATATTGTTGGCAGTCTAATGGAGATGAGGTTGCTGCACCTTCCTATTTTTAATCCATGATTTAGAAGCAATGTCAGGTCAAGCGCTGTTCCCATAAGGCACATTCACAGATGCAAAGCGCAGCGGGTGACACGCCAATGGGACGGTTCAGCACTCAAACACAAACAGCACAAAAAGCCTCATTCTTCTCCAGCTGACCAGAAGGAAGGATGATTTATAATTGGAAATATACTCACAACAATCAGCATGGATTGCTCCTGTAACTTGCCATATTTGGTCTATCCAGTAACCTTGCACTTGGCGCCATCTGGACATCCAGCTCTGGGGCCTTCAGCTGCCCTCCAGCTCCAGGTACACATCCCCTTTTTATCCTGGACATTGTCCCACATCTCCACTCATCCCAGTACACTTATTGATCCCTCACAGCCTTACACACTGAGTACATCCAGTAGCAGTACCTTGACCCCTTGGGCACTCAGTTCCCAATGCCATCCAGCTGCTCCTGGCTCCCTGGTCTCCCCTTGCCTCACGCACAGAGATACACAACTACAAACAGGACTACCAAACCACACACCACACAGTTGCTCTAGATAACTGTGGTCTCGGCTCCTCCGACAGTTAACTCCTGAGCTTTCTGGTCTGGACATTGGGCCAAATGGACATCCATCACCCAAACCACTCATCCAGACTGCTGACCATGTAGTAATACCATACTGTAATACACCTACAGTCTGCATTTACCAGTTTGCTGACACCAGACGCACACCAGACCCCTTTAACTCATTGTTCTGCTCCAGCAGCCAGCGCTTAAATCTCCACTCACACAGGCATGCAAGAGCGAGACCTTTTACTCAGGAAATGGAGCATAATAAAATACAGAACAGACTGCTGATCCAGGGCAGGGCATGGCCAGATAACAGTGCTGAGCAAAGCCTGTTTGCATATGGCTGGCCCCTTTAATCCTCTTACCTCTCCATTCTCTCTTGCTTTTCTCTCCCCAGTCCATCTCAGTCATCCCTTTCCCTGTCCATGGTCCTTCCTGTAGATATCCAAGAGTAAGTCTGTACGAGTCCCATAATCTGCATCTCCTAATGTGTCCCAGAGCCCTATTAGCAGTAACTTTCTCAGTAGGAAGAGTGGTCAGAGCAGTGTCTCTTTTTGGTTCCTCCTGATGGGTTTCAGAACTGGTCCATAGGGTTGAGGTTGTCCTGGGTCAACCCTAGGGGGAGCTCAGGCTCCAGTCTGTTTAGGGCAGGAGTTTTACTCTCCCTGCACTGCTCCTCTGCCCCACTTTGTGTGGAGAAGAGCCTTTTATCAGGTAAGCTGACAAAGCTCTTCTGCCAAAAACACTTTTCCTGCTTCAGAGTTTGTAATTTGGTGCTGTTGCTTTATTACACTTTAAATGTATGAATTCTATAGCCTTATTCTATAATCTTATTTAAACTATTCTAACCTAGGCTTCTAAAAATCCATAACTTTATTGTCTTCAGATATTAAGTTGCTTAAAAGCAAGTATAGGCAGTACTAAGCTAGAAGTAGCAGACTTTTTAAGATTAGTATTCACATTAGAGCTTGATCTCTATTTCTGATAGCTTCAAGAAACTTTACTGATCATGATACCAGGCTGCATAAACAACATTCAGTCATGAATGTTGGGACTCTCCTCTTTGCCGTTTTTGGACCTCCTTTGTTGTAAAGGAAGTTCGTGCATGTAAGTGTAAATTCAGAACACTTCCAGAAAGTATACTTAAGCTGGAATTGAACAATTGAGGTATTAGGAAAAAAGGCAAAGAAATGCTTGAAAATTCAGAAGAGTGATGTTGTAAAAAATGAGTCTTAAACTCCAAAAATTCAAAGTGAAATTTTATCGTGAAAAATGCTATTCATCAAGAATTTCCCATCTTTTCCAATATTATTCTTCTTCCCATTTCATCATGGCAAATTAAATTAACTGCTGTTCTACAATTATAAAAAGGCAACATAAAAACCAAAAAGCTTCCTCCTGTTTTTTCATTGTCACACTATTTATCTCATTTTCATTTTTTCATAGACTATGGTATCGGGATAATTTTCATATTCTACACAAATATAAAAAAGAGTTTAAGTTCATAAAGTGTTATTAAATCCCTGTCAAAGCCTAAGGCTTGAGGAGTGAAAATAGACTACCATCTGTTGTTTCATTATACATACAACAATGCTATTTCTTGTGTGATATAGACTTGATACAGAGAATTTCCATTATGATTCCTCACTGACTGAATAGCAGCTCCAGACTACAAGGTCTATACCATTATAAAAATAAAAAATGCAGGTTATTGCTTCAGAGTGCCTAAACGGTTTTAGAAATATGAACTAGTTATATTTCTAAGGGCAAGAAGAATGTGAGGACTGTACCACAGATTTTCCATTCCAGGCCTTTCTTACATGACCCCCCAAATTTTTAGAAAATTTTAGGTTGAGACAGACCTTCCTCTGAGGATCAGGGAGTTTGGTCTCCTTATCAAAGCAGCGCTAACCTCAAAGCTCTCTGAGATGGCACAGATACACTTCTCTTGTAGTGAAACCAGGGTACATCTCCAGGTACCACAGAGACCAGTGTACACAAGCCAAGAAACTTAAGTGCAAAAACAGTAAAATGGAAACCATTTACACTATAGTTAATTCACTCCAGCACATTTAAAAAATCGATATTATTCCCTACAGTTAACTAGGGGAAAACGACACTGTTCAGTGTGCTTTTTTTTCCCCCCTCAGTATTAAAGCTTTGATATAGACAGGGAAAAACAGTCAAAATTTAAATAAAAATATACTCCCTTAAATTATATTTACCAATTATTGAGGACTTCAAATACACACTTAAAATGTATAATCATGTTAATATCATTATCATAATAATGCTCTTCAAAAAATCACAAACTAATAACAACTCCCATCCCCAAAAGAGATTTTTCCTCTCTTTAAATAAAACAGTTTGAATACATTATACATGACTTACACTTTATGGGAAAAAAAAAGATGATGCATAGAGTTTAAGCATAAATATTTAAGTTCATTATACTTCTCAAATCCTAGAATTAATTTTCAGTTAAATGGCAGTCCTGAGGTTTTATAAAAAACACAAATTATAACAATTTATATTGGCATGTGCTGAAGCATACATCCAATAATCCTCCCAAGCCTATCCTTCAGACAAAACAAAGCATTGAAAATCATGTGTTAGGCATACTTGAGTCACTTCCTAAACAGAGGCTTGAAAAGATGAAAGAGTGCTATTGCAGTTTGGCTGAATGTTTCACATCATGACATGATGCAGAATTAATTCTGTACACAGCAGGCTCATTTTAGTACTCAGCAAAACATAGCACCTTATAAATTTCATAGTGCTAAAGAAAGAAGCAGCCTACAAAAACACTAAGAAAAAAATCCACATATCTGCATTGTGTACATTGCATTTCACCTACCAAACTTAATTAACTTATGCAACATAATAGCTAAATCACTTCAACAGAAATATAAAATACCCACCTGTTTTGGGGTCAACAGAGAAATATGGCTGTCCCTGAAGAATACTGTACACTACTCTGGCACTGTTTCCATATGTGGGGTCATCTGCATCTGTGGCTGTCACCTGTAGAACAGATGTACCTGTATATATAAGAAAATAAACATTAACTTGCAATAAATAAAATTTTCCAACAAATATTTTCAAATACATTTTAAAAAGCTCCAAAATCCTCACATTCTAAAAAATAAGAGATTAATATCATGCTACCATTATATAATTTTTTAAGGAAAAATAATTGCATCAATTTGAAAAAAAATTGTCTTTATATGTGTATGCATAAATTGGTTACACACATACAAACTTAAACAGAAATTACAGAGATGTAAATATAAATAAATAGTAACTACATATTACACATATTTACATATGTTCTATACACATAGATCACAAACTTGGATATTGACTTCTAAATAACAGATTTATGGACTTCAGGATTATCTTTATGCGCAATACAAATTAATGTTGAAGTATTAAAAGTAACTTGTAAAAATGCCCCCAAATGAATAGAAGTTGCTAAATAAATATAAAAATTCAGCTATTAGAAGGCATCAAAGATGTGAAAATGAAATAACTTCTAGAACCTGTTTGGGGATGCAAATTAGAAATATGAGTTCAAAAGAAAATTATTTTTTATGCTAGTAATAAAGACCACTAGAAGAATAAAATCACAGTTTCTAGCATATCACTAGGTGGGATAAGTTAAGAGCAACCCTTTTGAGAAAATGAAATGCATAAGTACTGCACAGATAGAATGGAGACAAGTGATTTTTTTTCATTTTAGTGTATTTTTCAAGGCATGTAATGATGAAGCTTTGCTATCACTGCCAAACACTTCCCATAAGAAATCAGTGCATGTAAGACTGTGAGTTAATAAAGGCTCAGACTTCATTCTATTTGTTTATCTTTATGCAGACACAGCTTTATACAGGCTCCTTGGTCCAGCATTAAAATACCATGATAATAGAACAGGCTGCTCTCACATAACTTGGCATCTGAAAGCAGATTCTCATCTAAATTAACCACTGAGGTATCACATCAACTCTGAGGTGTTCAATTTCACATTTAGTGGAGAGGAGAAGTGTGTTTCTGAATTGAAACCCTTGATCTCCTTCATTTGTTGCACTTTGATTTTCCTTATAGAACTGTTTCAGAGCATGCTACCTAAATTTTTTCAGATGCGACTAAACCAGGAGATGTGCTTTAGCGGCACATCTGATTTATTCTGACTGCTAATAGGCACATAATCTCAGAGACCAGGCAAGAGCTAATCTAAAACAAGATTTCACAAATATATGTGGCATGGACATCATTTTCTCTTGTTCCAGTTGTTCAGCCTCTTAGATCAATTTCCATTGTACAGAAACATTTGTTAATGTGCACGTCCTCAGTATGCACTTGACTTAGAAGTATGCAAAGTCATGGAGTCTCACTTCAGGTGCAGCAAACTAACCATACAAACATCCACAGATTTGGTTTCTACCCTCTTTGAAAACTCTTCCTTCACTTTTACCATGTTAACTTGGACACCAAGAGCTGCTGTTTGTATCACTACTAGAGACTTAGTAAAAGTGTATGTAAGTGCTCTGCATACTTAAATACAGTGTCTCCTGCTTTCTGAAAAGCCCAGGTGTATTCAGTCTCACAAATAAATGTATTAACAAACCAAGTATAGGGATCCTTGCATGATTTTGAAGTGGAATACTGTAATAAAATCAAGCTGGAGCTAGTTGTATGTTCACAATTATTGAGATGTAAATGGTATAGGTAACTAAACTACTGTGTTTGTGTTCCTGCGGAAAGGTAAACAAATGTGAATGAAAGTTTGTTTTCTCTTGAAATGTTCCAGAAATCAGTTCAGGCCTATTTATTTGCTATCTAAACATAAAAAAAGAGGTCACATCCAGGAGCAGACATTTCCTCCTGCTAGTCCATGACATTGGAATGCTGTAACATATTTCTGCAGCCCAGTTTGCAAATAATTTCTTGCTTGAGAGGAACTTGTATGGTTCAATCTTGTGGAATCACTGAAGATTAATAGTTTATGGATGCAGAATGATTTTATTTTGTAGTCATGTAAAACAAAAGCATATCCATTCAAGTGGTATAGTCAGTCACCTACCCGAGTTTACTATCCAGAATGCTGGGCAACCTCTGTACCTTTTTGTCTATACTTTTTCCTTTTTCCAGGAAAACAGTTGCCAACAGTGTGAGTTTCCATTAGCACTTTTCCCCAGAATTCTAGGAAATCAAGATAGCTCTTGAACTTGATAAAAGTATTTCGGCTATTTCAGAACAAAAAAAAATCAGAAATATTGTTTTTTCATAATTCTCTCCTTCTTTGAAGACTTTCTTCTCTCTCCTTATTTTAAAAGAATCTTAGCACTTGTATAACTCATTGATGTGAGAGAAAAGAAACAAAATGAGTGAAAGGTATAATCTGACATAAGCAGCTGACTGGTGTTTTTATCATGAATGGAATGCCATTGTATCCAAAATTTGCCACAGTGATTTTTCTAATACAACTGTATTTCTCTCCCATGAAACACCTGATAATAGCAATTTAGCATCAAATAGTGGCAAAGTGCTCTCTTTCTACCTAAAAGAACCCTTAGAATCTCAAATTTTAACTCAACCTCTCACCCTACCTCAAACTCTCATTCAGTGGAATGAAGCACTTGAGAAGCTTAACTTCTTCACTGTCTCACACGAGCACACTCAGCATTTTATAAGATATCCCCATACCATCCTTTTGCCCAGTTCTTGTGTGATTTGCTGAGCACTGAGGAAAGGCAGTTTGTGAGAGCTGCAGGTTAGAATGCCTTTACAAAAAAAAAAAAAAAAAAAAAAAAGGAAAAGAGGGTACTTTTACCTTCCAACTACTTCTTTCAAAGTTAGTATCATTCAGGTTCATCATGATAGGCAAATCACAATTCTGGTTACATTTGTATCATTTAGATGCAGCATAATTTTTCGTTGTTGAGCTAGGTGTCATTAAGGATTTAGATAGAGAATTACACAGCAGTGCTCTTTTGCTATTTTAAATGTTAAAAAGTAAAAAAAAAAAAAAAAAAGTAATCAGCTACAAAAGATAAGGATCTAATTTCTCTGGACACCACAGGAGAGATATGAACATCAGATCCTTACCTTCTATTCTTCCTTTACCAACTTACTGCGAAAATTCCTGTCAAGAAAGTTTTGCTATGAAAGAAGTTTGTCACTCCAGTTAGGAAATAAAAGTGACATTTTTCGCCCAGCTGGAGTCTCTGCTTATTCAGAGTACAACTAGCATTTCATGTGCTCTCTGGCCACATTTCAGAGCTTACATTTTGGGCATTCTGTTTTCGTAGTTAATGCTTTATAAAGAGCTGTAAAAATGTTTGTATGGTCTGAATACCACTTTGTATGTTTTTATTTTTCTCCTAGTATTAAAAAATAATAAAATTATTCAAATGGGGAACAAAATTGTAATTTATTTCAAAATATCTCCATTTGGTTTTTCTCTTTTTTTTTTTTAATATACAGTTTGCAAGAAAAAAGTTTATGAAGTAGTATTTTCAAGAAAAGCTGAAAGGGAATACTGCAATTTGTCTCTCTGAAGACAAATTTTTGATTTTTAATGAGGCAGTTCCATAAAATACGTCTGTTGAGAATGTAAATATTTATGCATTACTTTTAATAGTTTTATATACTATTGAATCTCAAATGGATCAATATTTAACAAAAAAATTAAAAGAAATTATAAAAAGGTGAAGTTTAATAAATGCAGAGATAGTCTGCCTAACTAAAGGAATTCTTAGTACTGTCAGAAAACACTAACGAGTCAATGAAATGTGATTGAATTTCACAATATAGGAAGTTAAATAGGCATTTATAATAAAAATCATATTTATGAACAATATTGTCTTCCAGATTATCTGAAATTATGACTACCTCACACTGGAATACTCACAAAAGAAGTTTGCAAATGTCTACTGTGCCTATTAATTTCTTGAGCAGAATGTATTGAAAGTATCTTCTTATCAGAGAATCACAGAATTGTTAGGGTTGGAAGGGTTATCAGGAAGTCATTTAGTCTCACTTCTAAAATATCTCAGCATTAAAAATTTCCATGGAGATTTTCGCTCATTTTGCAGTTAACAACACATCTGGAAGTCTTTTACAGACTGAAAAATATTCTTATTTTCTTTTAATTTATATAAAGATGAATTTCATAAACCTTAAAGCAGACTACAGAAATCTCAGTGTAACTGAGTTTTTCACACTACCGAAGAAACAATTTCAGATATAAATTTTGGTTCTTGAGCCAAAGTTAATGGAAAAAAATCATTGAAGGCAAGGAATAGACATTTTCTTTCATCTCTCCCAGAATAGTACATAAACCATAAATAGTATGTTTATTTTGTGTCACAGTGAAAACTGTAGTCTAATATTTGCCAAAAACAAATTAACAAAACTTTTCTCTACTCACTTGTCAGTGACTTGAAAAAGAAAAGCTATAAAGGTCTTAAAGTTTTTTCAACTAAATTCAGTTCAAGTTGTGGGGAAAATACCAGCTAGGATCTTGAGGAGACAAACAAGAACCTGCTGTTGAAACTGTGCAAAATAATGGAGATCAAAAATAATGCCACTTAGCATGAGAACTGCTGCAGAGAGACAGTACCTTTGAAAGATTTTTAAATGATAATATAAAAATGAGAAGATATACTCAGAGTGAGAGCTCCTTAGAAATTCACAGAATAACATCAACAAGTTCAGTTATGTATAGACTCCACAGCTAAATGTCAAAAATTATGCTAATTATAGAATGAATAAAAGTGACAGAGGTATCTGCATCATTTGACACAAAGAATGCATCCTGTGGAGGTAGTAATAGAATTAGTCTTCCTGAAATTGCAGACAATAAAAATGCTTTCAGAGAGAGGAGAAAAAAGAAAATGGAGATAATAAATCTGCAATGAAAATGTAATGTATATCTACAGAATGCCTATATGCTAGAATATGAAAACTCAGGTTTATTCACAAAACACAAAAGTCTTGTGGAATAGATATTTTAATGATTTGCCTCAGGTACAACCAGTAAAGTATTTTATTTATAAAACATTGTCGTTGTTTTGGCTTGCTAATTTCAAATTTGATTAATTTTGAGGTTTCCTGGTTAATGTACTGATGAGTCTGGTGGTTTTCAGCATCAACATCAAAATGTTTTATGCAAAACATAAGCATTAATTCTCTATTTTACTAGTAAAACTTCATTGGTTTACCATAATCCACCCTGTTTTACAACACAAAATATCATCCCAGACTATTCAAATCATTCTTTGGAAAACAGTACCATGTCTGATGTAGCTGAACAGTAATATCAGTTTCTGATTACTGCAGAATTATGACTTACATTTATGGAAAAATGCTCAATATTGAGAAGATGAAAGAAAAATAAAAACTTCATGAATATAATACAAATAAAAAATTATTACATCAGCTACTTTGATTTTGAAGATAATATTGATCTCTCTTCCATTATCTTTCCTCCAATGCAGAAAATAAAATGCCTCTAAAGGTGAAGGATATAATCAATTAAAATGGTTTCCATTAAAGACAAAGAAAACCAAAGAAAGAGAAATATAGAGTTACACATTTTTGGAAACAGTTGGTAAAGGAAATTAATTCCTCATTAAGACAGCTTGTGGTGTAATGGGAGATAACTGAGATAAAAGCTTAGATGATACTGAAATGAACCGCAACTCTAGCAGTAAAGCTTTGTGCCACAGTGAATTATCAAAGACAGCTGAAGTGGTTTTGTGCAGAGCCAGAAGATTCTTACTGGAAGCTCTATGCATTCACTGTAGTAATTCACACAAACATGTATTGTTTGCATTGTCCTGGATTTATGATATTACTCACAGAAATGCTGCACTTTTGTCCTTGTAAAAAATTCTGCTGGCAATTCTTCTATTAGAGGAAAGTTATAAACTAACCCCAACAGCAGAGAAGTATTAAATAAAGAAAGCTGATTGCATAATGCAGCACCTCATAGAATAACAATATCTGAAGGATGTAACAGAGAAAACCAAAGATTGGTATCTTTTTGAACTTCAGTTCACTTTATAAGAAACTTGATATGTAAATATATGCCTAAAAAAATCTAGGGATCTACTGTTCCTTTGTGTTTAATTCTGTGAATTGTACAGGCTGCTTATGTAAACCTAAGAGAATGCCTTAAAGTTTGCAGTTGAATGAGGATATATGAATACACCTTTTTTCTAGAATGGAAACTACAATTTGCCAAAGAATGTATGTTAAAACATATATTAAAACATGTATATTAAAACAGTCAAGATTAATAGTGACTCTTCTCTTACAACCAGCATGTGTGTGTGCATACTGTTTCCTCACTGTGAATGTCACAACATATGGGTTGTATTTCATGTCTTGTTATCACCTCTTCTTCTCATCTCTTAGCTCCAATATATTTAACATACACTCAATGACGTGATGATAACTTTGGCAAACAGTACGTGGCATTTGCACTGGTTAAAAGACTGTTGAATGGCACAGTTTGTTTTCCTTACCCATTTCAGACATCTCTGGCACAGTAACAATGTATGGTCCATCTGTAAATTTTGGTGCATTGTCATTGATATCCTGCACTTTGATAATGAACTCAGATTCAGGCTCGAGTGGCTTGTTTGTCCGTCTGTCAATAGCTTGGGCATGAAGCACGTAGTGTGTCTTCTGCTCTCGATCTAAGCTTTTGGTTGAATGGATGTCTCCAGTTGTGTCATCAATAATAAATATAGTCCCTGCCCCTTCTCCAGTAAGAATGTATTTGACTGATCCATCACCTTTGTCGGAATTGGAATGCAGCTGGAAAATAAAAACACATAAAATCATATAAAACAAATTAATTATTTCATGAGGTATAAAAACTATGGTATTACTGTCAGCACCTTCCTATTTTGTTGTGACATCTCCCAGTTCTTGCCATAAATTGTCATATGATTTTTTTGGCAACACAGTCACTTTGTTGAGGGTAATTTTCCACCCAGCATAGTTAATTTCTTAAACTGGGATTTCTTGGGTTATGCATCCATTCTAGAAAACTTCCCTAAGTCAAGAATATTCTAGTAACTGTGATGGTTTTAGTTTTATTTGGTTTTCATTTTAGTCCTTTTCATCATTAGTTTGCAGCATTTATTGCTTGAAACCCTGTCTTAACCACTAAACCAGATGCATTCCCACTGAGAATTGTCTACTGCAATGACAGTAATTCAGTCCCACCTACATTTTCCTCTGTGGCCCAAAGGACAACATCATTTACTGTGAAAGGAAACTGCACACTGTGCCAATGGCAGATGTCTGTCCAGAATTACTCTATTCCACAAGAAAATATTGGCATTTTCTTTGGATTATGTTTGTTAATTTTTAGCTAGAAAGATATCTAACTTGCTTGTATTTAAACTGTTTATTGTTAAATGATGAAGTTTGAGAGGGACTTTCAACATGTTCATTGTTCATAATACCTTGTGCTATGAAATATAAATTAAATATATTATACTCTTCCTTTAGTACAGTAAAGTGTTATTTTGTTGGGGAAGTGCAGGGTGGGTGGAAAGAAAACCTGGTAAGTAGATTGGTATGTTAAAAGATAACATGAAATGGCTTTCCACTGCCTCACCGTTCCTAACATGACTTTAAAGAATTGCCTGTTTATAACCACATGAACATGTGTTCTTTGATAAGAAAGGATGATTTTTGTATAAACTGAGTTTTGCGAATTTGTTTTATTTTCATTTGAAACAACTTTAAGAACATAATGTATTTATTGAGGAGCATAATAAGAACAAAGTGATAGTGCAGAAATGAAAAGCCTCAGGTATTGTGCAGTTATACTGTGATGTGAAATCAGAAGGGAAACTTTCTTATTTTAAGAAGACATTTTTATCCTTATCCTACTGCCCTGAATATTTTTAATATCTGCAGTGTGTCATTACAAAATTTTGATATAGCACCTGAGCAAAGCAGAAAGAAAATAACAGATATTTTTAATTCATAAGATGCAAGGTGTTACTTTCCTGTTTTCATTCTCAGTTCAAAAACCATAGAGGGTTGAATAGAAAGGAAATAAGATTTGTGTGGTAGAAAACATCTTTTTCTTAAATTTAAAACACATGATACAGAGTTGATGGTATTTTCTCACACACAAGGTGTATCTTTTTTTCTGAGTCTTTGTCTTGCCTTTGAAACTATCTGCACTGTCTTTTGTAAAAGGAGTAAGCATATGGTTCTTGATGAGATTTTTAATATTTTTAAATAAATTCATGAAAGTATGGTGTTGCATATAATTTATATATTTTATGGGAGGGGCTTGGAAAAGGGAAATTTATAAATTGAAGGTTTTCAACTCATAAAAATTTCATCACAACTTCAGTCAATGCACTATATACTTATGTGAGTCACATGAAGATCTGACTGAATAACCAACACAAAACTGGGTCACTACTGTGGACCCTTTTTATTCTTTTCTTAAGTCAAAAAAAGAAAGAAGTAGCAAAAGGGTCTATTTGTTTGGCATGTTTTTATAGGGCAGCAGAACAGTCTTATACATTTCACTTACAGTAGTTATTGGCAAAGTATTGCTTCCTAGCCTTAGAATAACACTGTATTAACAAAGGAATAATTCACTCTATATAAAATACCAAGAACACAAACTTCCTATAGTCTGAATGTTATTTGATGTGATTTATTTCTAAAAGTAAGAGTAGTGGGTATTCTGGTATTCTAGAATAGCTTTACTGACACTTTAATTTCTCAAAAACAATTAGCATTGTAGGATCCTTTTGGGATAAAATGAGCCCTCAATGCTCGTGATTGCAAATGCCAACAGTAAGATGACAAATTTGAAAAGTTTATAAGGAGCTCAAAACTAATCCAAACTGAAAAAGATCTGAATGTTTTCCATCATACTTCTTTCCTTTTACCTCTACAGGGATATATGTAAAAGTATATTCAGGTATATCAAATAGAGATCCCAGAAAAAAATCACTGCATCTATAACTGGAATTATGAACACATGAATCAATTAAAAAATTGCCTGGTAAGTAATACACAGAATAAGGAATTGCTGTAGAATATAAAAAGTAAGGTTCTTCAAAACACCAAATATGAACATATGCATGCCATTCCAATCCCATACTGCATAAAGGCACATTCAGAAATTTGCTATGATGGCACGAAATGCATAGACCATTTCAAAAATTAATAACATTGGCTATTTTTTTATTGTGAAGAAATCACTCTTTACTTGTCATCAGTGAAGAAAATACAGATTTATTTTAAGTCAAGGTTTTTGCATCTAAAAGAAAAGTTAGGAAACACAAAAGATACTCAGCTGCTTTCATGGTCAACAAATTATTTGCTAAGCCTACTAAACATTGCCTTACTCAATAAACTTCAACTGAAAAATATAGGCAAGAGTATCATGAGAATAAACTATCTGCATATTAATAATCACTGAAAGCCTTCCATTTACAAATAGGAATTTTAAACTGCAGTTGTAAGGCAACAACTGAAAAGAAGTAAAAGCCAAAAGAATTTCCTGCTTCCTTACTTCCAGATATGTCTTATATTGTTTGAAATATAACACTTTGATTTATGCCTTTTAACTTTTAATGCTGAATTTTAAACTCACAAAGGGGGATTTTGCATAGCAAAATGGTATTTTCTTTGTCAGTTGTTTATATTTCAATTTTCCTGCAAAGTAAAGATTAAAGAACTGTTTGTCTTCTTTAATTCTTCCATCTTAGTACAAATTGGTCCAAGTGGAAAAATATCAAGACTTCTCTCGAATGCTTATTTGCAATATGTGTTGTGCTGAGAGAGCCCCTGGGAATCTCGACTTCAGACAATGTTTACTAGATTAACTAGAGATTTATGTCCCTGAGCATGGTGCACTTCTCTCTTTTCTCTCTGTACTATGAAATCATCTCTACAACAAGAGGTTTGCTCCACAAAAACATTTCCAAATAGAATAAATGTTATTCACCTCTTAGGTTACAAATACATGGTTTGGGAGAGCATATTTCTGCAGTGCTGCCCATAATAGTTTCTAAAAGACATTGAGGGGGCAAAATCCAGCTGAACAATAGTGGCCTTTCTCTCTGCTTGGAACTGCTATAGCTATTTCTCTTTCAGATTAATTTGGCACAGAGGAGAATGTCGTTAAGCAGTACAAATGCAAGCCAACCCATGTTTTGTTCAGACCCAACTGGTGTGACCTGGGGAATTCTTCTCAAACCAGATCCCTATAAAGGGTATGGCCCAGTCATGAGCCACTGGGGGAGTCTCCAGTGTCCCAGTGCCAGGGCGCTTCCTGACTCTGCTGATCTCTGACAGCAATGTCTCCAATTCTCCAAACTGCAGTCAGTGCAGAATTCTGAATTCCCTGTGGAAATGTGAACTCTAGTCTAAGTGATGGGCTGGAAACATTCTGCAAACACTAGCACTGATTTGGTTATGCTTCCAACAAGAATATATCTGTTTAGTATTCTGAATCTGTCCACAACCAGAAGCTGCCAGAAAGTATTCAACTTTCATCCCCTTCAGTCATTATTCTTGTCTTTATTTCTCTGATTTTTTTAGGGAAAGAAGAAGCTGAAAATGATAGCAGATGGACATATCTGGAATATCCCCTTTGCCAACCCAGTGACCTACGCTTCGTGACATATTTAGTAGCAAGTTGCATCCAGGAAGATTTATGATGGTTCCTCAGTCTTTAACTATCCCATATCAGCAGTGTATGACTGATTTTGCAGAAGAGTAACCAACAGTGTCCCTGTTTTGCTAAGACTTCAACATTTTTCTTCCATCGGTCCATTTAAAAACTCATTTTCTTTTCAAATTCCTGCAGAAACTGCAGAAGAGCTACATTAATCAACTGCATGATTTGCAGATAGATGCAAATATTTCAGTTAATAAGTATATTCTTTATATTCCTTTATTAATTTTGATGCTATGAATCCTTAAATACCTTTTTTGATGTGCTAGCATATTAACTGCTGTAAAATGAATTCACAGATTGAGGGTAATTACCCACCTAGTAAAGTGTTGTTACTGTTTGTAACTGAAAAATGATCAAGTGGCTAAAGCCTAATCACAGCCCAAGGGTCAGGTGACTGCTGCTTGGTCAGTGGCCTCATTCACTACCAATCCACTTCATGCACCTGCATTGTATTGGCTCATGCTTAGCCACGTCATACATCCAAATATTTAAACATACCTATTTGTCAAGCAACAAACCACACGTAGGCAGAAACTACTGGACAATAGGAAAGAGGCCCAATGGGAATAAAACACATCAATAGGAACTGCAAAACCAAAACTCAATCCAAAAATTGAGAAGAAAGCCAACATCCTACTTCCCCTGGGAATGCGGAATGTTAATAACTCGCAGTGATCACCATGCTCCCCTGCACTTGCCTCAGGAAAACAAGCTGCACCCAGGAAACCATGCATGACCAGAAGAGAAAAAGCCTGGATAAGAGGGGAATTTGTAAAGCAGAAAAGTTATCTGTTACTGATTTAACTGCATGACTGCTTGCTCCTGTTTGCTTTAGTTGAAAAATCTGCATTATTGGAGTGTAATGTGGGTGGCATTTTAAGTGGACTGCTTATGACTTTTACTGTATTTCCTAATTGGACTATCAATAAATTCTTTATATATGATCTGGATATACCTTGTTCTGGAAGCAAAAATATTATGAAGAATTTCCTTATATGAACTAAATTAAAATCCAAGGCTGATTTGAAAAAATCAAGAACTTGCACTAATCTAATGAATTTGATCTGAGCAAAAGTGGTTATGTACA